AGACAAACCTTGATTCGTGCATCACAGTTTTCACAATTAGTCTGATAACAGAACATTTGCTTCCTTCACCAGAAACTGATTGTTAAACATCAACTTTTGTCAAACAATTGATCGGCTAAGCCGTTTTAATACAGAATTTATTAATTTATTGTMTAAAATTCGTTAATTGGATCTGGAAAAATCAAGTTCGATAAAACGAAACGAGCGCACGTAAGGGCACACGCACAGTAKTTTTTTAACATTCTATAATCAGGAATAACATTTATCGCATAATTAGCGCATCAAGGGCACAAATCACAGAAATAAATATAAATAACTTCAGATCCGAAACAAAATAAGCTTCAAAACTGTCGTGCATTACTGATGCATTACCCTGAGATGTTCGGAGAAAAGTATTGTGGAACACAAACCTTTGTTAAGCAAATTTCTCAGATCAGGAAACAAATGAGTTAGAGAAGCTTTATATTCGTTGCGAAACAGTCCAGTTCGAAAAAAACAAGGGAGTGAACGTAAACAATAAAACTGTACTTTCCAACGCTAGCCGTCACAAGTTGTTGCTCATCATGGCAAATGAATCGAGTTTTTTTGCTGGAACGAGCCCCAGTCCTGCTCTGTGCTTCCTGTCTCTACCATCCTACGATCCCDACAATATGACAAGTCTTCCAGATTCAGTCAACACGATTCGTACCGTCCTTTCTGTTGTCAATGGTGTAGCGTCTCCTCTAACAGCCGTCGTGAACGCGTTGGTTGCTTGGTCAGTGCTTAGAGATGAAGATCTTAGATCCTCTTCGTTTAATATTTTACTGGTAGGTTTAGCAGTGAGTGATTTCCTAGTGGGTTTCCTGGTTCAACCAATCTCAGTGTACCACCAGAGTTGTCTTGTTAACAATTGTTATTCGCCTTGTACATTTACCGTTTACGTTTTGTCAGTCTTGACCTTTAGTGGTCTGTCAGTTTGCACGTTAACTTTAGTGAGTTTGGAAAGATACCTTGCTATTGAACATCCCAATTTTTACCGTAAGATGATCACAGTAAAGACAGTCATGTTAGCAATGATTATTTTACTGGTTAGCAAGAATAGCATTTGTGATGACTGCCACCATTTTTATATTAAAGAACGAAAGCAAAATATTTGTACTTCCACCCATGGTAGTTCTAGGTCTCAACATTCTAGTCATTTTGTACTGCTCTATCAAAGTACAAGTGACAGCTTACCGCCAGCGTAGAACCATCGCCCTACAGCAAGAATCAGTTCAGCAGCCCGACGAACAACAACGACAACAAGAACGACTCAAAGAGTACAAGCGAGTGTTCATGATGACCATATTAATGATCGTTTCGATTCTCTTTTACGTTCCGTTCATCATAGTCGCAGTGATAAGGGCCGTCACAGCTAAAGATGTCACTAGTGATTATAAATATACTGACATCGCTATCTGTCTTACATTAGTTCATCTCCAGTCTCTTATCAACCCAATCCTCGTCTCACTGCGTCTATCTTACATTCGTACAAGCATCAAAACAAACTAGTAAGTTGCTTTAGTTGCAACTGATAAGACGCTAGGAATCCTGATGATGCTCTCGGTTTATTCATTACTTTCCGAGTTTATTTTTTATTTGGAAGACATTTTAASGTACTGGAACATTAT